TTTTCCGTGGGCTGCCAGCGCCCCATCGCGCCGAACGTTTTGCTCCGCGACCTCCAGGAGTGGATCGCAGAAGCCAACGTGCAATCGAACCGCGTGGAGCTTCTGGGCGATGGCGAGCCAGCCCGACGCTCGTACTACAAGTCAAAGGAGACAGCGCCGTCGTAGTGCCCCGAGCCATGGCTCTCCCGCGCGCCATGCGCAACGCTGCTGGGCAATGGGAGCGTTTAACCTCTACCGATACCACGGGCCAGCCAGTCGACATCTATAGCAATCTTGGCAAGACCCCCAAGCAGATCAGAACGGAATCCCAGACAAAGAAGCTTCTTCAACTCACGCAGCACCGCTATCCCCAGCATCGGCCGAGAGCCTTCCGCACCAACGGAGAGATGCACTGCGACTCCATGCCCATCTTCAAGATCATTATCCGCGGCCAGAACGGCCACTCCATCCTTGAGTGGAATGAGCAAGCCTTCGACCACCCTCAGTACCTGTACATCTGTCGTGGCAACCTCCTCACCTCCTCCGAGGCGCTCTTCGCTGACGCTGAGGCAGCTACGTGGCGTTCCTAACCACCGCCGGGCTCCCTGGCTATTTGACGCCGCCACGGAGCTGACCACTATCGCCACGTGGAACGCGCGAGCTCTCGCGCGCCGCAAGGGCAGGCGCCGCCGTCACAAACAATCTGCCCTCACTAGATACATGCAATGTAAGTGCGTGGTCACGCTTTAGGAGGTTCATGGCTCTGAAGCTCTGCTCCGCACCCGGGTCGACGCGCAGCCGTGCTCCCACGAGGTCTACATCTCAGCGTTCCCCGACGTCGACGGCGAGGGCTCCACGGGGGGGGTCGCCACGCTTGCGCCGCGGTACTCGCCGATGGAGCTGGAACAGCTACAGCCGCATCAGCTCCCGCTCTACGATCGCGTCGAAATCGTTCCTGGGCGCGCCCAGCAGCTCGCCGTCGCGCAGGCCATCGCGAACGCCACCACGGTAATCATGAATGTCCACAATCACGAGATCGCGGCCGACGGCCGCCGCAAGATCCAGCAGGCATGGGAGCTCAAACGTTTGTGGGCGGAGGCGAACTACCGCGCGTGCACGCTCAATGCAATCGGGGATTTCAGCGTTGCCACCCGCCCACCGCAGAGCTTCTTCCAACCGCAACCGCAGAAGGCGCGCCTTGGCCTCGATAACAGCATGCGCCAGCCGCAGCCGCTCTGGAGGGCCCTTTTTGACTCCATGCTCGAGATCGAGACCGACCCCCCCGACGTGCTTCAACCGCTCGGATTACACCGCCTCCACCATCGACCGCGTCTTCATCAGCCCCCCCTTCGCACGCCACGGCCGAGCTTACCATCGACGCGAAGGTCGCATACGATGCGACGCTACTGTCGGACGTCTGCCTCAGTGACCGCACGACCATCACCTTCTCCATGGGGGTCAAATCGCGCACCCCGCTCATCGACCAGGCCATCCATCCGTCGATCTTCCGCGACCCGAACTACTCCGTCTACTTCCAGCAGCTGCTCGACGGCGCGAAGACCGACTGCCCGCTCCATCTCCAGAGCCATCTGGCGTCGAGATCTCCATCTCGCTCGCCCCGTCACCACCGCCACCACCCTGGGCGCCAAGTACCTCTCGATCGACAATTGCACCACGACGCTCCGCGACCCAATCGCCCTCGCCACCCAGGCCGCGCAGCTGCGCCGCGACTTCGAGGCCAGGCAACTCTCCCATGCCCAGCAGGCAGCCCTGCTCCCCCAGGGGCAAGGGGGAGCGTTGCCACCAGAGAAGCTACGGTCCAGCATGCGGTCCTCCCAACGTCGGGCCCTCCTGTGGGCCCCTTGGAAAAGCCGTCTCGTCCTCTAGGGAGTCGAGATCACAGGCCCTGATGGGCCTCAGACCGCTAGAGAGAGCGGCTCCACCGCTGCAGCTCCGCGCACGCACTGGCAGCCCATCCTCGAGGCGAAGCGCGCCGACATTGCCGAGGTCACCGACTACATCCACGCGCGCATGCCGAAAGGCGACATCCTCGACATATGGCCGCCCGCATTGCCGCAGACCAAAGCCTTCCTGCGCAGGACTCTCCCTTCTGCGCCAGGGCCGGACTCCCTGCCGCTTTCCGCCTGGCTCGCGCGCGACCCCTCCCCCGACCTGCTCGGGGACTGATCGTTCTTCCTTTGCTCGGGCCAGCGCTACATTCGCGATCTGAACGACTCCGACAGCGCCGTCCTGCCAAAGAGTGGCAATACACAGGGCGAGCTCACCGCTGACTGGGCGCCTGAGGACGCGCGCCCCCTCTCGCTGAAGAACGCGGACATCGAAGCTATCGCAGGCGCCGCTAACTGCATGCTAAGGGCGCCGTCGCAGAGCGCACCCACGCCGCCCGGCAGGGCTTCGTCCAGGGACGCAACTTCACCAAGCACATCACCCGCTTCGACGCCGAGATGCGCCGTGCTGGTTGGCTCCCAGACGCTCTTGTTTCCAAGCCCATCTTCGCCAGCTTTGATTTCTCAGCGGCCTTCCCGTCCTTGGGGCGGGACTGGCTCTTCTTCGCGCTCGAGCACTTTGGCCTCCCGCAGGGCATCCTCGACCTCTTCCAAGCCATGTGCTTCGCGCCCTCCAGCTGCGTGAAGATTGACGGCGCGCGCCGCGACGCGTTCGCGATCGGCTCCGGAGTGGCGCAAGGCTGCCCTGCATCAGGCTCTGCAAGGGCGATAGCCATGGGCCCGATCACCCGTCGCCTTGCGTCGTTTGTGGAGGACTCGAACGGCGCCCCTGTCTTCGACGTTGTCTACATGGGTGCATGCGCTGACGACATTGGCTTGCTAACGCATTCGTTCGACACGCTGCGCCAAGTGACCGCCCCGTGTGCCGCTGCGGAGGAGCTCGCGCTTCTCTCTCTGGAATCGCGCAAGTGCTTTATCGTCCCTCACTGTTCTGCCGCGTCCCTAGCCACCATTGCCTCCGCGAAAGCGCTCTTGGCCGAACTCGGACCTCCGCGGGGTGGCTTCTCGGTTGCAGGGCGAGCCAAGTACCTTGGCACTCTTCTCGGTCCCGAGGCCCCATTAGCCTGCCAATGGCTCGCTCCTGGGCAAAAATGGCGGCAACGGGATAATTCACTTCAGCTCGTGCAGAGTGGCAGCGGCGCAACAGTTCGCTGATGCAATACATCAGTGCTATATTTTCTGAGCTATGTTTCGCAGTTCTTCCTCCTCGATGCCTCCATCGCTCGCCGTGAACCGTGTATTTTCCACGAGATGCCCAGCGCGCCGCCGAACTCTTTTCGCAAGGTTGACCTGCTCGCCATGGCGAGTCGAAGCCCGCCACCTATCATTTAATCCGCTCAGACTCTAGCTGTCGCATCTGCCGCGCGGTCTGCGCCAGTGAAGCTTTCAGGTTCCTGGGAGATTTACGCCGATCGCCTCGCTGACCTATCGTGGGAGGAAACAGCGCTACAGAACGCTCCCCGCTGGCAGGCTGGAGCATGGCCACCGCCATTCTGGTCTTCTCAGGCAGTCATCGTGCAGCGCTACCGCTCTCATGCGCCACGAAGCTCAGTCGCCTTTCTCCAGCCAGTCCGTTGCCGCTGCCGCCCGCGCTGCTCACAGCGATCAGAGAGATACGGCAGCCGCGACCCCGCCCCGCCGAGCCAAGTTCCAACGCTTCTATTCAGTCAAGATGCGCGACCAGGCTTTCAAGTTTCCTTTTTACGGTCACGCTTGCCAGGCGCCTCCTCGCCTGGGGCCTTCAAGCGCCCTTGGAACCTGGAGAGCTACAGAAGCGCTGGAAGGCGAAGACCGATGCTCTCAAGCAGTTGCGCCCGAGCTGGCGCTGGGCTACATTCAAGAGCCTCAGCGGCGGTTGGTCTACCGCGGCTAGGATGCATATCCTCCAGCAGCGCAAGTACGCGTTCGGATGCACGGACGCACTTGACTCATGCCCGCACTACCTTTCCTGCCCCGCCCTCTCGAGGCTCCTCTGGCTCCCTGACCTCCCCCTTCATCCAATCAACGCTGACGGCATGGGGGCTGGGCCCTGCCGCAACATATGCAGCTGACCCCACCAGCCCTATGTCTTCGCCGACCACGGTTTCAAGGATCGTATTGACATTCCATGTTTGCAAACTGAAATCCGCTGCCAACGCGCGCGCGGCGGCTGTCTCGCAAGCAGACCTGGTCGCCTCGCGCCGCGCAGCACTCGCATTACTATACTGGTAGAGGCGCTAGGCCAGGGCACGGCGGCAGAGACTAACTCATTTGCCCTTTTCTCGTTTGTGCTCGCGCCCGCCTGCCCTCTTCTTTTCTCAGGGTACCCATGCTCCTCCTCCTCCTCCGCGGCAGGGCGCGTCGGGGCTCAAGAGACGGAGGTCGATGCAAACGGGGGTCAGCCCGAGCGCCCGACCTAGCAAGATCCTGCAGGGCCAGGGTCACATTGATCTGGGTGCGGGAGCAGGATCCTGCAGGATCTCGTAGGATCTTTCGCATTGGCCCGGGGTTGGGTGCAGGAACCTGCGGGGCATATCAGGATCCTGGAAGGCCGGACTGGCCTGGGTCTGGATTGACCCGGGTCAGCAGATCCTCCCCGAAGCGAGAAGGCCTGCTCAGAAGTCGGCGGGACGTCCCAGAAGCCCTCGCGCCTGCAACAGTTTTAGGGTCTTCGGGGACGGCGTTGGAAACCTCCCAGAAGGCCCGGGGACTTCCTAGCCTTCTGCGAGGACCCGTCGGGCCGAGCGAAAGGAGGGGATAGGGAAAGGGGGGATTGCGAAATCTGCTGCGTGCAGCTGGTTTCGGCCCCGCTGCCAGGCCCATTCCTCGATACATGGGCGCCTCCGGGCGCCAGGAGGCGCTGGGAAGATCAGCTACGTGAGCTGGTTCTCTACCCGACCCTTTGCTATCTCCCCCTTTCGTTCCCCCCCTAAAGCGCACCTTCTCGCTTTCCCCCCCGGGATTGCCGCCGGGTAGTCGGCAGCGCCGTGGCGGCTGCTTTGCCTGCCCCGCGAGGAACCGGTCGCCGACCCCCCGCGGGGTCGCAGCACATTCGGGGGGCGAGCCTGCAGGTGCGCTGCCGAAGCTCGAGTGCGAGGGCAGCCAGGCGGGCGGCTCGCGAGGCTCAGTACCGTGTCGCCAAGCCCCATCCTCATCCCCATCCTTCAGAGGAGGAAGAGGTACCCATACCGCTACCCTTCCCCCGTTATCCCCTTGTTGGGGCCTCCTCGGAGGCCCTCCTTGCCACCGCTGGATTTGCTTCGAGTTCCTCGTCAGAGCGCACCCCGGGAGAGGTCCAGGGAGCAGCGGTATCGGTACATGTTCGTTTCCCCACAAGCCCCATCTTCATCCCCAGCCCGAGCCCCCCGTTTTACGAACCCAGTTGGGCATACACCCCTCGAGACCCGAAGGCAACGGCCTGTAGCCCCTTGCCAAGGGGACAGAGAGCGGCCAGTGGGGCCCAGGCCACGCCGTCGGGGATAGGAGTTGGAGAGACGATGCTCAGAGGCAGCAGCGCGTCGGGCTTGTACAAGTTCGACATCTTCGACAACATCGATGAAGAGCCTCTTTTCGTCTACTTGTGATGATGCTGATGATGATGTTGTTGCGGATGTTGTTATAGTTGTTGATGATTGCGGTGGTGGTGATGATAATGATGATGATGATGTTGATGATGCTGCGGCTGATAATTATGAATATGATGATGATACTGATGATGCTGATGATGATGGTGGTGGTGATGCTGATGCTGCTGATGATGCTGCTGATGGTGTTGATGTTGCTGATGATGATGGTGATTAGGTTTGGGATGGTTGTGCTGATTGAGTATCGTTGGTGAGATTGACGCTGTTGATACTGATGCTGATGTTGATCATGCTGTTGATGCTGTTGAGTCCTGATCCCTGAAAAATATTATTGTTGTTCCCCCCTTCCTCTGGCCGTCGCAGTACTGAAGTGTCCCTTGCAGGGCTCGCACCTTGTTTTTTACTAGGGGAAGCTTTGGGCCTCCGACTTGGTTGATGGCCCCCGAGCTACAACAATATTCAGGAACTCCGCTCCCGTTCGAGACCCCCTTCTGCAATTTGTTCGGGCGCCGCGCCCTTCACACTCATCAAGCAAACTGTCGCCCAGAGCTCCTTCGCGATAAACCCAGGACCCATGCTCTCGCCTGAGACTACCTCGCGATTCGTTGCTTTACTGACTCACCTGCCCGGCCCGCCTGTCAGGGTCTGCCCGCCCGACCCGCCTGTTACGGTTTGCCCGTTCGCTCGCTTGAACGTTCGCCCGCCCGCTTTGTGCCCCGCGCGCCCGACCTGCCTGTTCGGGTCCGCCGACCGACCCACCCGTTTGGTGATGTTGCTTGTGTTCCTGCTCATCTCTTGCACCCCTCGTGCTAATCTCCCTCGTGCTCCCCTTCCCTTGTCCCTCCCTTCCCCCAGTCCTTTCCCCCTCGCTCTCTCTCCTTGTCCTTTCTCCCTCGTCTTGCTGTCTGGAGGGCTGATCCAACTACACGTGGCAGGTGAGACAAATGTGTCCCCTAGAGGGGGCACGATCGAAGATGTAGAGGGCGGGCATTGAGAATTAGGGATATTCATGTTGAGTGGCACGCGCGCGTACAATAGCCACCAGCCTTCAACTGATAGAGGTTGTTGGTTCTGATGGTGCGCCTCCGTGTACCAACACGCATGTGTACCCCCCCAATCCTCCCGACGTCTGATTCATTCTGGGCTCACGCGCTCGGCCGTTTCAGGAGAACGGTTGGGCATTGAAGCTGTCCTTTGGACCGTGCGCCTTCGACGCCACGCTGCGGCGGACCAGTGAGAGAGACTTGCTTTGCACCTGCAATCTCCGTCCGTGGGTCGCCCCCGCGCGCACGCAGAACAGGGGGCGAGTGATACTAACGTGGGTGGTGGCAAGGGGCAGGCGAGCGCGAACGGCTGCGGTGTTCCATACGACCCCTCTGGGCGGCAGCCTGACCGACCCGCGGGCGAGCCATCCCCATCGTCGCCAGCATAGCAATGCGATGGCGAATTCGCGAGAGGTACGTGGGCTCGAAATCACCTTTGAGGAGAAGGTGTCTCCCCTGACCAAGGGTTCCGACGGCATCGTCAGGTCCTCAGGCGGCCTCATCATCTCCCATAATCCGACCGTGTGCCTTGATCGCGAGGAGGACTACGGCATGATCTCTAACTTCGTCCAAGCCTACGACAATGGCTTCGCCCCTGCCTCCCAGCAAATCGGCTCGATCTTCGCGCACGGGCACGTAGCCACGGCCATGGGCGGCGAATGCAAGCCGACGCTCGTCAACCGGATCCCTGATCCTTCGAGGCGGTGCCACCGCGTGTGTTTCCGCATGTTTCTGCTGCCGCGGTCGCGAGAAGTACGCGACCCGGACCAGTGACTTAAGGGCGCGACCATGAGCTCACCGCTTGGGTGGTACAACGTGAAGGGCAAGCAGACGATGGAATCCCCGTCTCAGCAAGTTGCGACCACCTACCACGCCATGTACGCGGAGCTCGAGAAACATGAGGGCAGGACGGTCGTTCAGAAAGTCAACTTGGAGAAGAGATACGAGGCCATCTTGAAAGATGGGCGTCTGGGAGCGGTGGCCGATTTCACGATCGCTTTCGGCGGCGATAGTCACATCATCTATTTCTGCCCGCGCTGCAAGACAGCTCCCCTCAAAAGTCGAGAGAGTGGGTACGTTGCGTGCTACCTGCGCAGCGGGGCGCACCTGAGGGCGCCGCGAAGGGTGGCCTGTTAAGGTGCGTCAGCAAGAAATGTGGCCGCCGGTGGGGCTCGAAAGGCGCCGACGCGTGGGAGTATCTGGTTATCGATTTTCCGCCCAGGGCCACAATGGACCATCATGGACAAGAGAGGCATGTCGGACGCCAACGACGAGGAGGCGGCGTCCATTGAACCGTCCCAGGAGCACGCGCCGGCCGCGCAGGCGGAGATGGCTCGCTTTGGCCATGGCGACACCGAGCAGGAGGGCGCCCTGACCGTGCTCAGAAGGGCCAAGCTGGTCTCCACCATCCGCGCCCGCAGCGGCGGTAATTTATCCTTGGGCGGCCTCATGGAGAAGGAGACCGGTGCGTCCATCGAAGCCATTGGCGCCGCCAGCAACCAGGAGGCCTTCAAGAAGCCCATCAAACATGCGTCCGCGCACTTGGGGGATAGGATTACCGTCGGGCTCGAGGAGCTGGGTCGCAGGGCGAGGGGGCCGAGGCGCGGGGCTCCTCGAGTGGGTCGACATCGACCTTCGGCGGGCCTCGCCACCTTCAGCAAGCGCCACTCGGAGATGTGACCCGCGTGGTCGGCCCGCTGGCGTTGGCGATGGTCGAGCACGGCGCCGCTCGCGCAGCGAGATGTCGGCTGGGCGGGGCGCCCGGGCGTCGCAGGGGTGGCCTCGGCGGGGCAGGCCGTGGCACGGGGCCCGCGCGCGCCCGGTTGTCCAGTGTCGACGGGCCAGGAAAGAAGAGAGCCTCCTGGCCGCGGGGCGGTCAAGCTCGCGCCTGCGGGGGCCGGCGGGCCACTGCGTGGGCAGAGGGCAGAGGCCCGAAATGCCCGCAGGAAGTTTCGCTCGGACGCGGCCGCGCGCGGGCGGGAGAGCCAGGAGGCAGTCCGCGGAGGAGGCCGCCAGCAGCCGCGGGGCCCCGCGCGACCCTTCGGGGCGGGAGCCGCGCCCGCGCACCGGCAGAGGCGCCGGCCGCCGCGCGGCCCCGCGACGGACAATCTCCACCAGCGAACGCGCCGCGGGAGGATGACGACCACGGCGGCGCGGAGGTGCAGGACGCGACGACGTCCTAAGGATCCACGCGGCGCCCGAGGATCCGAAGGGGCACGCGATGGACGGCGCGACGAAGGCTTGCCAGGAGCTGCATGGGACCATCGCCGAGGAGAGCAAGGCACGGCCGGGCCAGCGGCCGCCCCGCGTGGCGGCCCGGAAGGCCGCGCCCTTCCCAGCGCTCCGTGCTGCGGCAACGGCTCCGTTCGACGCCCGCTCGGAACGCGTCCCCGCTGGGAGGCCGTCGGCCGCTCGCGATGGGACGTGTCCCGGGCGGGGCTCGGCGGCGGCCCTCCGAGCAAGGGGGTGGGGCTCCGATCGGCTGCGGGGCGCGCTTCCGGATGGTCTTGAACCGCCCCCACCCTGCGGCGGGCTCCTCCGCGGCGAGGGCGCCCTTCCGGCCTTTGGGGCCCCCCGCCCGTCCAGCGCGGGCGGGGGCGGTGGTCCGGCGCCCGAGGGGGGGCCTCAACCGCGGAGGGGGATCCTGTGGGGAATGGGCGGGGCTTCGAGACCGCGCTTCTCGGCCTCTGCGCACGCGTGGCGGCGAGCGCGGCGACGGGACCGCGGTCTGGGGGGAAGGGGAGGGGGTGAGGGGAAAAGGTGGGCGGGTCCCGACGCTCGCAGCGTCCGGGTGGGGCCCTCGTATCCCCTTTTCACCTCCAGGTCTCCTCTCCCCGCCTCCCGTTCCTTGGTGTCCCATTCCTATCTCGGGGGGGGGGACCGTCGAGTTCCTGGGATCGGCAGGGGCCCTGAGCCAAGGCCCCCAGAGGCGCCGCCCGGAAGAAGGGGGTATTAGGTAGGTATTACCGTCACCTCTCCGTTTTTTCCGCCATCGCACCGCCAATATGGTCCATCGAGGGTACGCCTCCGCGTGCCAAATGGTAAGTGCTTCCTCCTCATTTTCTCGACGCTTGATGCCGTTTGGGCTCCCGCGCTCGGCCGCTTCAGAGAAACCCACCAATCACCATGAGACATCAAGTTTCTGGGACTGGCAAGGACTAAAGGGAAAGTAGGACACACAAATAAATACACACAAATAAAAATAGTCCCCATATTTTCCCATATTTTCTAGGTTTTTGTCTTCCCCCCCAATTCCCATATTTTCCCATATTTTCTTGGGAATCGAGGATTAATTGTGTCTGTGTTTTTTTTTCCCTCCTGAAGGACCCTGAGCCAGGCCCCTCGGAACCACCACCCGAGCAAATGGAGTGTCACCGTCACCTCCTCCCTTCTGTTTCCGCCATTGCACCGTTGTTAAGGGTCCACCGAGGACATTGGTCATAATGATGTTGATGATGCTGCCGCTGCTGATGATGATGGTGGTGATGATGATGATGTTGATGATGAGGGTGATGCTGATGATGGTGATACGGTTTGTGATGATGGTGTCGGATACGGGTGTTGATGATATTGGTGATGCTGGTGATTGGGGACACCGGTGGCAGTGGGAGTTAACAGCCGATGAATGACAGCGCCCGGGTGAGTGGTAAATATCAACACTGCAGACTCCCCTTCCACGGCAATTGCCGCAAACGTCGCCCAACCAACTCTGACAGTGTTGGTCAGGCGCCAGGGGTAGCAAAGAAAAAAAACGAGATGGGCGGGGAACGAGCAAACAACAAAAGCGGGCCGATTGAGCAAGTATACAGTCTGTAAGGGTTCCCATCCCAAGCCGAAGAAAACACATAGAGAACGGGCGGAGGTGCGTTCGAATTTGCAGGATGTTTGCGACACATGCAAGGAGCGTATGCAGGAGTTCGAGCACATGATCAAGGAGGCGGACGTTTCCTCGACCTACAACGCATTCGTGAAAAAGAAGAAGAGGCACGATTGGGACGAGTCGAAGTTCATGACCGCGGTGGGCGTAGTAAGGGGGCCTGGCACAGAGGGCTGTCGGGTGCTGCATTGAGCGGCGGTCCTGGAACGCCGAGCAGTTGCGCGGCCGTGAGCATCGCGCCCCGCGCTGCAAAGCAAATCTTGCTTCGATTATGTTGCGCGAGCAACGTGCCGGTGCGAGCGCGTAGAATTTCCGGGTGAATTCTGCACCAAAGTTGTGTAAACAAATCCGGCTTTCAAGCACCACCCACCCAACTAATTGGCGGCGGAAGGTGTGTACCAGACGCAGGTCACGGTCGAGTATTGTGATGATGCCTAGTTTGCCGGGCTGCTTGTGGTTGCACGTCGTGTGGTTTCGATTGGGAGTCCCACTTCGGGCTAGGGGACCACCGCAGAAGTACCCGCGACAAAAAACGTGTAAGGGATGGGGTCAGGAGCTCGGGGGGGCCCCGCGTCGAAAATGAAAGCACAGATCACGGCATCGGAGGTCCCGCAGTGGTGGCTGGTTTTCGCGATGATATACCCATAGTTCGCTTGGCAATGCCGCTACCGCCCCCTTTTCGCTCGCTCTTCCCATCCAATGTCTCTCTCTCTCTCACTCTCCTCTCTATCTCTATGCACATATCTACGTACATAGATATATATATATATATATATGTATACATATGTATGTATAGCTGTATATCTTTACACCACTATATACATATATATATATATATCACTATATACACGCACGTACATATATATGTATTGTTCAATACACTCCTGATCTCCAGGAGCGTTCTGGGCACAATACTGGCTGTAGTGATCACGCCACAGGGGAGGCACAGCTAAATTGAACGTTGCTGTATAATCCTTTTCCTGCACCGTCTGGGACTGCCAGGTATCCCTTCATCCTCCTGCCCAACCGCAGGCATTTCATATTGCGGTCTTCGAAGGTATCGTGCCGACTCTGGCGCTCACACACATACACACATACTGCAGTCATACGTCACACGCCAAATGCGCGTGGTTGCCGACAGTATTGTGCAACGCTGTGTTCCGTGAATCGCTGGTCGTGCCCCAGGCCAGATAGTTTTATTGGCACGAAATGCCTCCCTCTGCACCTTGGTTCGTCCACTCACGGCCCGGACGCCGACAGCGCCTGATTTGCCGCTGCAGCGCCTGGATTTTGATGTTGGGACGAATTCAGTCAGGAACGCGGAGAACATCCGCGGCAGGTGATCAAAGGCGACTCGCTCGTAGAGAAACCGTTGCTCCTGCACTAAGCGCCTGTCCGCAGGTTTTGGGCGTCAGCACTCGGCCCCCGGCGTGCCGGGGAGGTCCCGCGCGATGGGTCGGGGGTTTATGAGCCCGATGCGGTTGGCGTGACGCTCGTCTCTGTTGCTGGTGGGCGGCAAAGAGGGGGGTGATGACTAGGGGGTGGGTGCATAGCATGGCGTGGGCCATGATATTTCCTCAGATTTCATGGCGCCTCTTCTTATTTCATTACGGTCCTGCCCCCTCCCCTGTGCCGCGCACATGCCGCCGGCCACGATTTGCGCCCCCCCGCTCTTGGACGCCCCCGTCTTGGCCGCCCCCGATGTTGCTGGTGGGCGAATATACTATCCTGTCGAGCTGCCGCACGATTCCGCCACCGCGCGTGAGAGCACCCAAGGTCAAGGGAGGAAAAAGCACCCGGACCAGACAATTGGCGTTTCCTAAACGGCCCTGGGCGTTACTAAACAGCCCCGCCCTGGGCGTTTACGAAGCGGCTTCGCGTGTCGGGGTGGTTATTATCGGCGTGGATTTTATGCCTTCCACAAGGGGTCGTTGGCTTTCTGTGGGCCTGCTGTTGTGGCGGCACTGCTGCCCGTCTTGGAGGCCTTGACCGTCCAGGGGGCGGCCCAGTAGAGGCCCGAGGCCCCCCAGTCGTTGCAGCTGTGCTCCAAGCGTCTGAGTTGCAACCGCTGGAGCCTGACTCGAAGAAGACAAAACCACATAAACATAAACTTTTGGCGCTCCGCGCGGATTTCTTGGATCCGCGCTGGGCCCCTGGCGACGCCTCCGGTGGCGCCCCGTTTTTTTTTTTGTTCTTCGTCTTCTCCTTCTACTGACGCAGATTTGTGAGAAGCCAATTCCTTTACATTGGCCCCTGCACAGCCGGGACACGTCATCCTCAAGTCTCGTGATTCCATTGGCCTGGTCCAGGGATGGCATTGGGGAAAAGAGGCCCGAGGCCCCCAAGGTTGCCCCAACACGGCGCCCAGAGGGGTACTGCGCGAGGGCCGCTGTGGGCGGGGTGGGGAACTGCGGTGATGCCTCGCGATTCTCCGGCGGCGGAGAACGCGAGCGAGGTCGGGAGCCTTGAGACGGGGGTCAACGCAAACGGGGGTCAGCCAGAGCGCCCCGACCTTGCAGGATCCTGCAGGGCCAGGGCCGCATTGACCCGGGTTTGGGTGCAGGATCCTGCAGGATCTTGCAGGATCCTTCGCATTGACCTGGGTTTGGGTGCAGGATCTTGCAGGATTTTGCAGGATTCTGCAAGGCCTGACTGACCCGGGTCTGGATTGACCCGGGTCAGAGGACCCCTGACGAGGGGGCAGGCCTGCTCAGCGGGCGCCGGGGCTTATCGAAGGCCCTCTGGGCTGTCAGATTCTGATGTTGCCCTGGTCCGGAATCCGGTTGACTCAGGAGAGGAAAAAACACACAGACACAATTAATCGTCGATGCCCAGAAAATATGGGAAAATATGGGAAGTGAGGGGGAAGACAGAAACCCAGAAAATATGGGAAAATATGGGGCATAATGTTATTTGTGTGTATTTATGTGTGTGTCCCAGGGCCCCTTCATTGACTCCGGCCTATTCCCGCTGAGTCCGGTTCTTTCCCGCTCGATCCGGCTTCATCCCGCTCAGTTAATCCCAGGCCCAATCTGGCGCAACAGCCCCCCAGTGGGCTTTTCTCCTCCTTCCTCCAGCCACGCGCAGAGGGGGGTAGGGGGGGGGAGGGCCTCTTAGAGGCACCCCTCTGAGAAGCAGCCTCCTAAGAAGCCCTCCCCCTCCGTCCACCCCCCTGTGCGCACCGCCAATTTTCAAGCAGTGACGAAGCGTCCAGGCTCGCCTATAGCCCTACCAAATAACGTTCTGGAAACCTTGTGTGGTTTCCACGGAATGTCCTTAGAACATGTCTGGTTTATATTGTTTTGTTTTAGCACAGCTGGTTTATGTTCTAAGAAAACTGTTTTTGCTCTAAAAGCGTTTTCGGGTTCTAAGAACATCTCGTGGTAGGACTATAGGAATGCCAGGACGGTCGGTCCCTGCTCAAAATCAAACCCTTCCGGCGAAGACCTCTCAGCGGTTGCCTCCCACGGGAAGCCGCTGCTGTCTGCGGAGGGGCCTCGGGGAGGCCCCTCGGCATGCCGGCGGGGCCTCTCGGGCCCTCCGAGGGAGGCCCGCGCCCTCTGCCTCGCCCGCCTGGGCGCGCCGCCGGACGGCACGGAGCGCCCCCCGTGCGAGATTTTGCTCTGGGCCTCGCGTTCGCGTGGGAGGGCAGACACGGAGGGAGGACCGTCCCCCCCCCCCCTCAGAGGAGGAAGAGGTACCCATACCCCTACCGTGCCCTGGTTTTCCCCTTTGTGGGCCTCCTCGGAGGCCCTCGTCGCCACCGCTGGATTCGCCTCGAGATCCTGGTCGGAACGCACCCTGGGAGAGGTCTGGGGAGTAGCGGTATTGGTACCTTTTGCTTCTCCCACCTCCGACGCCGACAGTTGGGGTTGACTGAACGGCCCTGGGGGTGTATTGAACTGCCCTGCCCTGTTCGATCCTTTGCCTGGGCGCGTTTGCTGAAAAGCTTCGCTTGTCGGGGTGATTTTTTATGATGAGGGTGGGCTCTCTGCTCCCTCAGAGAACTGCACGGGCCTGGCCAGCAGAAACGGACGCAGGTTGGGCTCGATGCGCCAGAGAGGGGGCTGTCGATTACCCCGCAGGGGAAGCGCATGGCCGCCCGAAAAGCAGAGGGCCCGACGCGCACCCACCGCTGCGGGCGCGACGGCGGATTTTCCGGCGCGCGCAGCGCGCGCTGCTCTGACTTGCATTTTTTGCCACCGCAACGGAGCCCAGCAGCAAGGTGAAGAAACGACGAAGACGACGAAGATGACCACGAGGGAGGGGGAGGAGGGGCAGATAAGGGGGGGAACGAGGAAGACGACGAGGATGGCCACGAGGGAAGGGCAGGAGGGGCAGATAGGGGGGGTGGGAACGAGGAAGACGACGAGGATGGCCACGAGGGAGGGGCAGGAGGGGCGGAAGGGGGGGTGGGAACGAGGAAGACGACGAGGATGGCCACGAGGGAGGGGCAGGAGGGGCGGAAGGGGGGATGGGAGCGACGAAGACGACGAGGATGACCACGAGGGAGGGAGGGGAGGGGCGGGAGGAGGAGGGGGAAGAGCACGGCGGCCGCGCCGCTTCCCCAGACCAGCTCCAGGGCGAGCCCCCCAGTTTTAAAGCCAGGGCACCCGGCCGCGCCAGCCGGCGTGCACACAGGGCGCGGTCGACGGCGCGCGCTGCTGGCAGCAGCAGCAGCAGCATGGCCGCCCGCGTAGGGGCAGTGCCTGGGGCCCAGCCGCCGCACGGCCGGCCCGCCAGCGCCGGCCAGCTCGGCGCCCAGCAGCCGCACCGCACCGGCAGGGCACTCGGGCGGGCCGCGGACGAGCTCCGTCTCGTCGCATGCAGGTTCGCCGTGTTGGAGCCCCCGAGGCAGGAGCCTCCTATTCGTGCAGTGACGGGGCCGCCTGTGCAGTGCCCCGGGGCTGCTGGGCACGATGCCTCCACTGCCCCAGGCCTCCGACGTCACGATCTGTTCAACCTTGGCGCGTTGTTCCCAACCATCCTGTGGTGTTGGGTCCTCGTTTCAAAGGGACAGCGCCGCGCGTCCATCCTCCTCCCCTCCTCTCCCTCCTGCCTCCTCCCATCACCATCACTATCATCATCGTCGTCGTCAGCGAAATCGTCATCATCATCATCATCATCATCATCATCATCATCATCATCATCATCATCATCATCATCATCATCATCATCATCATCTCATCATCATCATCATCACCATCATCATTATCATCATCATCAGTATCATTATCATTATCATGATCATCATGATCATCATCATCATCATCATCATCATCACCATCATCGTCATCATCACCATCATCAACCTTATTTCCGTCATCGTCATCATCATCATCATCAACCACAACAACATCACTGTCGTCATCGTCATGGCCGTCATCATCATGGCCGTCATCATCACCATCATCATCATCATCATCATCATCATCATCATCATCACCATTGTCATCGTCTTCGTCACACCCATCACACGTTTTATGGCTACATAGGGAGCTCCACCCAAGGTCCCAGTGGCGCAGTCCGCATGGCGGCGCCGCCGCATTTTGGCACACCCCTCACAAGTTTCGTGGCCCCGTAGGGAGCTTCTCCTAAGGTCTCAGTGGCGCAGTCCGCATGGCGGCGCCGTTCCATTTTGGCACACCCCTCACGCGCTTCGTTGCCCCATAGGGGGCTCCACCTCAGGTCCCAGTGGCGCAGTCTGCATGGCGGCGCCGCCCCATTTTGGCACACCACTCGCACGTTTCGTGGCCCCATACGGAGCTTCACCGAAGGCCCCAGTGACAGCGCACGCATGGCGTCCCCGCCCCATTTCGGCAAATCCTTCACGCGTTTTGCGGCCGCATAAAAGGGGGCTCTACATCAGGCCACAGTAGCAGAGCCCGCATGGCGGCCCCGCCCCATTTCGGCACACTATCCATGCGCCTCGTGGCCAACAAGGAGATCTACCGATCGTGGCGCTTCGTGGCCCCACACTAACAACGACGCTATGCACAACTGCACATGGTTGGGGCCTTCGTCGTCTCGCGGATTTGGGGGCCGTGTTCATGTCCGTGGGTGGGCGCGTACGTCTTTTTGTGGGCTCCCTTTTTCTGGGCCCCTGGGGACATCCGAAAGGGACCGTACACAGCGGACTGGATCATTAAAGACCGCTGGGGAGCACTGTGCACACTTGTCGAGTCCATCGGGCCAACGGTCGCAAGTCTGAGCGAGCAGGGCGACAAGGGAGCGCTCTTATACAGGGGGCCAGGCCGGAAAACTGATCCGGGGGAATGGCCGAGAGTTTCGGGGCCTACATGGTGAACACATCTCGTCACGATGTCGGATGTTGGGAAC